CACTAGAAGTTCAAAAATTACTCTTTTCTTACAAAACTTCTTTAAATCCGAATTTTTGTTCAATAAATGCTGGAAAACAGTTTTGAAAACACAATTAAGACTGACTTCTCAAAAATTACAGATTTGACCCAAAACTTTTGAAGATCTACACATGCATCCACATAAAAGTTCAAAAATTCATTTTTCTTGAAACCCCTTTTTGAAATCCGAAATTTTTAATGCTTTTGGACAATAAAAGTTGTATCTACCCACTACCAACATAGATGATGCATGCAAGAACAAGAAATTAACAAGAAACACTTCTTTTCTATTTTTCCCTAAAAAGCCCTAAATTTTCGAAATCACTCCCAATCTTTTAAAAATTTTGAAAACCATTTTAATACTATTGATGCCATTTAATTGCAGCAAGAAATCGAAATTTCTTACCTTAAAATCGAAGAAAGAAAACAACCGAAGGAAGAGAGGCTTTCAAGCACCGAAATCCATCCAAGCTACCTTGATTGTGAATGAAATGGTGTGAGCTTCAACCAGGGATGAGTTGTGATCTCTCGAAAGGAGGCAAGTGGTTTTGATGGTGTTTTTGGAATAGTCTATGGCAAGTGTTAAATAGGGAACTTTCATTTTCTTTTTGGGGATTTTCTTTGAAAATGAGAGGTGAGGTGGATGAAGAAGAGGGCCGATGGTGGCGGTGATGGCTTCGGTGGGGAAGGGAGGAGAAGACAAGTAATTTGGCTAGGTGTTGGAAGGAAAAGATGAAGAGTGTCTCTTCATCTTACTAATCTCATGTTTAGTACTAATTTAATTAAATCCACTTGCATAAACACCACACACACACAATCCGGACACACACACACATATCTTCGGTCATATGCTTAAATATATATATATATATATATATATATATATATATATATATATATATATATATATATATATTGCATGTAGTAGTATATGTATAGGTATGTATATGCATGTGCATGTATACACGTATAGATATATATATATATACACATAATCCACATAATTCACCAATTTCGAACATATATAAATAATTTACCTAATAGACAAGATACGCAATTATTCTCATAAGTCACGTAATTCACGAAATTCCTAGAATTTCAATTTACGAAAATTTAAAGCATATAAATCACACATATAATAGCGCACGCAATTATTCACGTAAATCACATAATTAAATTCTCGTAATGCATATAATTAATAATATGTAATAATATTACCTAAGGGTTCTCGAGTTAGAAATATTAGTCTCGGGTTTTAGGGTTTTCGGATTGTGGAAAGGTGGGGTGTTACACCATTTGTACACAATTATCCCCAATTGGTTAGTCAACCTTACGCATGCTATTCCAAACACCAAACGAACAAAACTCTACAAATGTATCAAACTGAATTTTATGGGTTTATGGGTCGGCAGGACTGTTTCATTCTCATTATTGTAACTTTTTTTGGCGGGGTTATGTTTTGTTTCACTTTCATGTGTTAACTTGTTTTAACTTAGTTTTCCTTTTAAATTTATTTTTTCAATAGTTATTTTTCAACACCTTGCACGATTTATTCTTCCTCAAGTTTGTCTGTTCTTTCTCGTTTGTAAATTGTTTTGTTTTTTGTGAAAATATGATGCATGTTTATGGTTTTTACAGATAATCTATTTGCACTGTTTAGTTATTATTAAAATCATAATAATCACAGCATTGCATCAATGGCCACACATTAGAACGATACAATACAGTTTGTTTTGGTGCACTGTCATTTAATGAGTTCATCTAACAGTTATGTAGTAATCCATAGTATGCCAAAGTAGACTATAGTATGGTGAGTACTACGATATTCGCCCTTGTGTCATTTCAATACCTGCATTTGCACAATAATGTATGGTATTCCAATTCCCAAATAAACAAAATCAACAAATCTACCTTCCAAAAGGCATATATAGATAAGATATTGTGTTAATGAACAGCAGCTTGTTTTGAATATTTCAACACAACTACAAAATAGAGCGGAAAAACCTAACTTCTACAAATGTTTTCGTTTGCGTACAATAGACAAAATAAATGAGACTACTCCATGGCTAATTGATTTTGTAATTCATAAGGTGTTCTATAATGTCCTTTCTCATTTCTGCGACACACCTCTATAATGTCGTTTCTCATCTCTATAACCACCTTTATTTCTCGTTTTTCACACAACATTCATGGCTTCTCCTGCGAATATAACAAACCATATTTTAGTTGTGATCAAAGTTACATGTTTGGGTGAAAATTAAAAAGTACCTATCCTATGTAATTGTAGGGTCAGTATCTTTGTATTAAGAAATTGGGAATATTGCAATTAACACAAAATCATAGAACATCACAGTATCCATAGTATACCACAGTACTACATGTAGTTAAACATACACAATTCATTAGCAATATTTTTTAAATATGCCACTTAGATCAGACTATCAATTAAACAAAGAATCACATAATAACCGCTATTTCATAGGTCTATAACATAGATCTGCTAAAAAAAAAAAACATCACAACAAAATAATTGTACCAAAATTTATATTGTTGTCACGCCGCCATAGACTATTGTAGTACCCAATCAACTCACATACTGCCATAGAAACTAGGAGAGACAACACAGTACCCAATCATAGACACCCATAAAAATACATCATCAATTTATAGTTACAAATATATATAGAAGTTAAATACACAATTCATTAGCAAAAAACTTACGCATAAGTAAGATTGGCCATCCTATCAATTACATAGACATCATATAATAGCAAATGTTAATTAAACATCAGAAAAGACAGTACAACATGAGGGAATCACTCTTGCACATAACTTTAATAGCATTTCTTCAATTGTTATTTTTATAGAATACTATAGAAACACATATCATTTCATAGACTACCATAGAAATCAAGCTGCGTTTTTACAATTAATCAAAGAAATATACAGGCTTTTTACACCATCTATCTACAATCACACAAATCTAATCCTCAACATAATATATGACGACACTCACAAGTCATGAAACATAGCAAAATATAGACAGCGATTAACCAACAACGGATTGCAATTTTTTGTCACGAAAATATTTACGGGCATATTTTCAATCGGTCGAACCCATAGATTTCTTCGGTGGAATCCATAGATACCCGCAGAAATATAAAACATCAAACAAAAAAATATACATGCTTTGAATCATACCAGGGTCTAGTGCAGTTATGTCGTGCTGCCGCTTCAGACGCATCTCCCCGGCCTGTTCATTCGACTTTGTAAATTCCCCATAAAAAACATTCAAAACAAAATCAACAAAAATAAAAACCTACTTGATCTGGTTCTTGACGTAGACATCCGTAAACGTTAATGGCGCCGACAATTCGTTTTTTTTTTTTCTGGATTCTATGATGTTGCTCGCCGTCGATTTGCAGATGAGAACGAAAGGAGAAAAAAAACCTAATCTGGCGAAGAGGGGGCGAAGTGGGGATAGTGGGTTGGATTATGATACGGTTAATGTGGGATTTGGGAAAATAGAATCTCAGAGATTACTAATGGCGAGATTGGTGGGATTTAATTTTATTTTTCCAAAATTAAAAATAAGCGGCGTTAATGTGACTGTAAGGGTACTATAGGCATTATTTCACAAAAGGATGTGAGGCTAATGTTTTTATAGACTGGGTGTATTATCTAATAAGTTTTCCCACTAGGGATGCATATCTTAAAGCTCCTTTAAAAAAGTATCTCTACCCCACCTTTTTATTTAAGATCTTTTAATGAGTAAAAATAGAAAATAAGCCCATTATCCAAACACTCTAAAAATTAATCCTAAAAATAAGATGTAACAGCTTATCAGTTCTTAAAACATCTTATCAGACGTAAGAGCTTATCAGTTGTTTAAAATAAGCTTAGCCAAACACCCTCTTAATGTATATGACAAAATCATCCACAATCCTTTAAACTCAATTTTGCGTCTTAATTGTAACCCAATTTAATTTTAATTTCATCAATTTTGACCACAAAAATCTAATTTTGACTTTTTCTTTTTTCAAATTTTTGGTTTTTGAATTTTTTTTTTTACCGTCGGTTCCCGGTGTTGACTCTTTTTTTCGAAAATTTTTATCCGCTTTTTTTTCCCGCCCGTCGTTGAACGTTGACAGTACAATTACTGTAAACCAAATAATATAATTGTCAATCACATCAATATTATTTTTTTTTTTGACTTTTTTATTTTTTTTGATTTATTGACCGGTCAACATAATAATATTACTCTCTGTTATATTACTGTAAACACAATAATATTACTGTGGTTGACAATAATATTACTGTCATTATAATAATACTGCTGTCAACCGCATCAATATTAATTCTTTTAACTTTTTACACCACGAATCGTCAAATCGACTAACCAAATCACAAATTTTCCAAATATGACTAACCAATTCTAGCTATTCGAGACTCGTAAAGAGTGGGGAGCTTATGATGGGCCCACGCCCAAAGGTCTATATTGACAAGCACATAACAGCATACAAACCAAGCCCAAGTAGGTTCAGGCTAATATTATAAATCCAAGTTGGTTAAGGCACAAGTTAACCCATGTTAAGAGCCTTAAATCCATGAGAATACATTTCTCCATAGAAATACCCATAACCCTCAAAACTAAAGCTACGCAATTTATAACTCTCGAGCAGTTTTTTGAATTCTCTGAATTCTTTCACCATCTAGACCTTACTTGAGCCTTAAAAGATTTTCGTCAGAACCAAGCACCGGTTGCCCTAACAACTTTTTGTGATACAAATAATGCCCACGCGAGAAATTAAGAATGCGAGAAAGGAATTGGAGACGTAGCATAGAATCGAACCACATCATTATTGTTGACCTCATCACAAAGCAGAGTGAAAAAAATATATTGACAAGAAGTTAGACCATAACGAAGCTATATGAGCTACGTTTCCTTATTACTAAACCAAGAACAGCAAGGAATTTAAGAAGGAAACAACAACAACAACATCTTCCACATTTATTTGACATAAAAACACGTTATGAAACGCATACACGATCGTACAGAAGTACGTACTAGATATTCATACACCCATTCATAGTTTTATTCGTAATATTCACACCATACATACATACATGATGTTTTATTAATCATATTCAAACCCTAATACAACAATAATTAACCAATCACAGGAACCCTCGTAACATTGCCATTGCTGTTGACATACACCCACACACGATCGCATCGAAAATCGAGGGTCGGAAGAGTTCCAGGTGGCAAAATAATTGCATTCACCAAAGGGTTCTCCCTCTCAATTGTTGCTACAGCTACATTTCCAGGTACCCCAACCAACTCGGGCCAAGATCTTTTACCTACATATAGATATAATATTTATACATATAACCAACAAAAAAAAAGACATTATTCTACTTTAAAATCATATGATCATCTTTTTTTTTTTTTTTGGCTCGATCAAATTAAAAGAATTAGTAAGTATTTAACAACACTTTGTGTTTAATTACCTCTGCATTCGGAATTAGACATCTTCGTAAGTACTTTTTTTTTTCTTTTCTTTTTATGTGTGTGTGATTGGCTGGATGATTATTATAAGTTATGTGTGTGCATTTATAGACAATTATTTCAGTATTTTTGTGGTGTATAATATTGACTGATATTCATATATGAGGCTGAAAAGTATTTAAGTGTAAAATTTAAGCGTATAACATGAAAAGATGAGTTGCTCTTCTTTTTCATCTATCCAAAAATCTACCACACTTAATTTCATAAATACCTACTATTCAAAACTATGTGTTAATTAAGTCAAAATTATACAAATGAATATTGAAATATACATATAGTTACACATTATGGGCATGTGAATGCGGGTGTGTGTGTTTTGTACACAATTATACGTAAATACGTGTATGCATAGGGTTTAGTAGAACCTACATCAGGTCAAATATCATGTGGTTTTAAATCATTGATCTGCATATAATAAAACGCACATCATGTGTATGTGTGTTAGTGAATATCTATATATATAGATTTACGATTTAAAAACATATATTATATTTTATCAGGTGTAGGATCTCATAAGTCGGAAATATGTAAATGAATTCTAAAAGATTAATTAAATGGATATATAGTTGAAACAATTAATGGACCACTTAGAAATCTGCTAGCTAGCTAGGAGATAACGTGAAGGCAATAATGCGAAAAGAAAGAAAAAAACAACAATCAAGATTAACTATCAAAGCATTTTTTCCATGAATTTGAAACTCCTAGAGAAGTTATAGATGTGAAGATATATAACTAATTAAGTTACTAACAATTAGTTTGTGAATATAAAACCATATTTTTCTATTTTAATTATCCAGATGAGAAAGTTAAACTTCTATAAACTAATGCACTTGACGAACAATATTTATTAATGTAATTATATATAAGAATAGATAAGTTAATAATTGTCAATTTTCTGATATTATACGAACATTTTTGAAACACGTTGTTATTTATACAAAAGTGTTTTTAACTCTCTTACTTTCAAACTAAATTTTAGTTATGACTTAGTGGGCTAAGTGTTATGACTTAGTGGGTTTAATTGTGGATTTTATTCTAACTTCCTAACTAACCCACTAACCCATTTTCTTGAGTGCTCTTGTGGTTGGTTTTCTTGCAGATCATGGGCTGAGGAGTGGAAGCTTGGCAAGTCTATAAATACCAAACTCAAGACTCAAGAATGGGACAGATTTCGAAGAAACAAAAAGAGGGCTGAAGTTTTAATCTCGAGTAATTTTAGCGTGTTTCTAGGATCTGTTGTACGTACTCCTTATGAGTACATTCTTTGAAATCTAGAATTTTTAATAATTTTCTTTTAGTATCTAGATTTGATTGTAAGAATGATCATGAGAATGATTCATTCATAAGGAAGAAGTTTTCGCACCTCTTCCGTTTGTATTCTTGGAATACTGATTTTAATATATTTTTCCGTCTTGTAAAGGGCAAGTTCACAAGTCTTTACTTGTGAACATTTTTAATTCTGAGCATTGTCTTTTTATCTTTATATTTCCGCTGCATGTTTTCTCAAGTGTCATAACACTTCAGATAACATCTCTGTATTAAACGAATTCGGGACCATAAATTCTTTCAATTGGTATCAGAGCCAACACTTGACGTATACTAAGTGTTTGTTCCTATTTTCTTTACAGAAACGAATTCGTGATGGATACTCAGATGACTGCTTCTATGCGACCTCCTGTACTTGATGGCACAAACTACACCTACTGGAAAGTCAAGATGAGGGCGTACATCAAAGCCATTGATGAGAGAGCCTGGAGATCTATTCTCACTGGATGGAAGCCACCAACTATCACAGATGTGGATGGGGATGTGTTTCCAACACCAGAATTGCGATGGACACCAGATGATCTAGCAAATGCTAACCAAAATTCAAAAGCGTTAAATGCAATTTTTAATTCAGTAGATTTAACCATGTTTAAATTGATCTCAGTATGCACTTCTGCAAAGGATGCTTGGGAAGTTCTTCAGCTACATTGTGAGGAATCAGATAGTGTCAGAAGAACCAAGCTCAGATTACTCTCTTCCAAATTCGAGAGACTGAGAATGGAGGAAACTGAAACAATTTCTCAGTACAATGAGAAATTGATTGATTTAGCTAATGAATTTCAATCCTTAGGTAGTCCCTTGAGCAACGAGACACTGGTGAATAAGGTATTGAGAACTCTTCCAGAAAGGTTCAGCATGACGGTTACTGCTATTGAGGAGGCTAAAGATACATCATCTCTACGGCTGGACGAATTAATTGGAAGTCTAAAGTCTAGAGAGATGAACTTTGAAGATCAAAGAAAGGAGAAAGGAAAGGCTATCTCAAATGCACTCCAGGCAGAACTAGAGAAGGAAGATGTTGCTCCGGAATATGATGATGATGCAGAAGAATGTCTCAACAATGTGGCATTTCAGATTCAGAAATTCAATAGGGCGTACAGACGAAGTGGAATCAAGCCCAGACAGTTATTTCCAGAAGGCTCTCCACAAAATCGACAAACTCAGCCCCGGAACAGATCTATTCCACAGAGAACATTTTCTCAAACATCTTCTCAAAACACTTTAAAAAATTCTTCATTTATTCCTTCAAATTCTGAACCACCTAACTTGGATCATATTAAATGCAGGGCATGTTCAGGATTTGGACACTATGCTAATGAATGTGCAAATACCTTGAGAAGAAGAGGAATGAGTTTGATTTGTGCTGTCAGTGATGAGGAGGAAGAACAACCTGAACAGACAGAGGAACAGCAATCCTCTAAACAAGCTCTTTCTGTCAGATATCTCACTGGAAAGGCCTCTGAAACAGAATCACAAGGAGTTTTTCTGGATGCTGCAACGATTTCTGAAACACTTTCAGTAACTGAAATTTCTGAGTTAAATACTGATCATTATACATGTTTAAACTCTATTTCTTTGAATGCAGCAGAATCCAGTAATGAAGCAGTTAGTGATGAGGAAGAAATGTGTAAGAAGCTGATCAGCAACTTGGAGAAGAAGACTCAAGCTCTAGATGCAGCCAACAAGGAAAATTCTTCCCTTAAAGAAACAATCACACATTTAGAGGTTGGTATCACCAAGAAGGATCTTGAACTGGCAAAGGTTAAAGATGAACTCAAGGAAGCAACTCTAGCAATTAAGAGGATGAATACCGGCACAACTAAACTCGAAGAGATTGTGTCACTGGAAAAGTACAACAAAAAGGAAGGTCTAGGGTTCAAGAAACAAGTGAAGAAACAAAAGCCAGTAAAGAAGAAAGAAATTGTCTTTGTCAAAGAGAAGGGTTCAAATGGCAAGGAATCCAGGAATTTCACAGTCACCACTTCAGAGTCCAGAATACGGGGATACATTTGTCATTACTGTTTCTCACCAGGACATATTCGTCCATTTTGTGAAAAACTCAGTAGTGACAAAATGTTGTACAAAATGAGCCACATCACTCCAGGGAACACCTCAAAGAAAAATGTAGAATTTACCAAAAAGGAGTGTAAAATATGGACTCCCAAAGGTAAACTTTTGTGCAAGGCAGTTGATACAAACCTCGCCAACAATGTGACGAGATCCGATATCAATACTTCGGATATCAAAATTCCGGACCGTCCTAAAGAAGGAATCAAAGGGGTGTATGCGAAGACGCCACAATCGATTGCGAAAGTTCGATTGATAAGTCGGGGTGAACAGACGGAATCCACCGATATGTTCGAACAGTTCTTAAAGAACCAAAGAGAATAACCTCAATTAAATAATCAAAAATCGTCCCCTCAAATAAGCCAAATTGGCAGCCTATTTATAAGGTCTAAAAAGACTCCTTTTTCATAAGGAAAAGGACTCCTACCTAAACTATAATAAGGAAACATGTAAATAAGCAAATCCTAATCATAAAAGACTCTAAAATAATCAAAATGTAATAAATACTAAATTAAAAACGTGCATAAATAAATAAGATAACTTGATCTTCAAGTCGACTTCTCGATCACCCTTCTTAACTCGCGACATTGGGCTGTGCACGTGCATGCAATTAAAGCTCAATTTCGACACTGTCCCACTTCGAATATCTCTTCGCTCAAAACATGAAAGTTGTAGATCTTTCAGTTAGCTTTCCGAATCATTTTGAATCAGCTCAAATGGACTTCAGATGCGAGAGTTATAACTCGAATGGTAAACTGTGCCAGAATAGGCGAGAATCTCGGATGCATGGAATTCGACTTGTCCAACGAGTTCTTCTCTTTCTTTTCTTCCAATTCCAAACCATCAACTCTTCAATGGTTTTATTCAACCCTTTACTCTCCAAGGAGATCTCGAATAATGTCTTTAAACTCGTACGTTTTCGCGTCTTCCAATTCTTCATCTTTGAGCTTGCTAGGATCGTATCATACTCTCCCTCTTTAAAAGGATTCGTCCTCGAATCCGGACAAATATGAAAAGGAGTGTAAACAAGATCGATCTCTCTGTTTGGTAGCGAACTTACACACCTCTGCACCACATCGCAGAACACACCATCTTCATCGGCTTTCATTGAAAGAGCTTGCAATCCTGTTAGCTCGGCACTAGCTTCGATGCATGGTTGGATCATATCATACTCCACCTCTTCAAAAGGATTCAAAATCGAATCTGAACCTTCAATTTCTTCTTCAAGTGGTGGGGCGGTTTTGCGTTTTTCATCCTCCTCGGGCTGCAACTCAACATTCTTACTTACTTCTTCCTCAACTAGCGCATCAATGACTTTCAAATCTGTTTGAGTGTTCTCTTTCTCAAAATCTTTGAGAGCATCTTCCTTTTCTAGGGGCCATAAATAATCACCCTTTCTCTTCAATTCCTCGTAGTCTCCTTTGCCTCGTGGAATTTCCTCTGCTTTGGGATTTTGTAAGGGTTCTCTCTTTTGGCTCGTTGAAGATCTCCATTGTGATTCCCAACTTGGCGAACTCCGTTCTTCTATCTTAGTAGTTTGCCTCAACCTTTGAAATTGTAAGTCCCTACAATATTGTGAAGGAACGAACCTCTTTCTCATAACAGTCTTTATGGACTCCCAATCATCAATTGGTGGTTCGCCACAACGGCGCCTAGTTAAGACAAATTGGTCCCACCAACTAATTGCATAGTCAATGAACGCTTCGACGACGAGCTTCACTTTCTTCTTTTCTGAATAGTAATCGCAATCGAATACGCGTTCAACTTTTCTTTCCCATTGAATGTACGCCTCGGGATCACTCTTACCTTAAAAAGATGGTATAGTCAATTTCATTGAGCTAAGGTTTCGATTTGCGCCCTCTCTTTCTCGATCAAAGTATCCTTGACTCGATCTATCCCATCCAGACCCTCGTCCCATACTCTCCCTCGATGTGCAAGGGATCACACCAAAACATCTGTCAACATAAACCTCTTTATCACGGTGAGGTATAACCAGTTGATGAACATCACGTCGTACGTATGGCCCTCGAACATGTTGATCTTTGTGTGGTTCATATATTTGGGCTTCAAGTTCATCCAATCGATCGTGGATTCCCTCAAGTGCTTTAAATATGGATTCCATTGCCGACATCCTACGCTCCTCAACTCTTTCTCCTTTATAACCGGATTTCTCGGACATAATAAAAGTATTTTTTTTTTTTTTTTTTTTCTGGACTCTAGAGAAACCTTACTTAGACTCAAAGAAACTTCAAAAAAAAAAAAAAAATTCGAATTTGTTTTCACTTTTTTTTTTTTGTTTATGAACTCTAAATAACCAAAAAGAAAAACTAGACGACTAAAAAAAAAATAGACACGAAACGAAAAAAAAAAACAAATCGAAAACACGAAGAAAAAAAACTGACTCAAAAATAAAGATAGATAAAGGATAGGCGAAACCTTCTTAGGAAGATGGCTCTGATACCAAATGATACAAACCTCGCCAACAATGTGACGAGATCCGATATCAATACTTCGAATATCAAAATTCCGGACCGTCCTAAAGAAGGAATCAAAGGGGTGTATGCGAAGACGCCACAATCGATTGCGAAAGTTCGATTGATAAGTCGGGGTGAACAGACGGAATCCACCGATATGTTCGAACAGTTCTTAAAGAACCAAAGAGAATAACCTCAATTAAATAATCAAAAATCGTCCCCTCAAATAAGCCAAATTGGCAGCCTATTTATAAGGTCTAAAAAGACTCCTTTTTCATAAGGAAAAGGACTCCTACCTAAACTATAATAAGGAAACATGTAAATAAGCAAATCCTAATCATAAAAGACTCTAAAATAATCAAAATGTAATAAATACTAAATTAAAAACGTGCATAAATAAATAAGATAACTTGATCTTCAAGTCGACTTCTCGATCACCCTTCTTAACTCGCGACATTGGGCTGTGCACGTGCATGCAATTAAAGCTCAATTTCGACACTGTCCCACTTCGAATATCTCTTCGCTCAAAACATGAAAGTTGTAGATCTTTCAGTTAGCTTTCCGAATCATTTTGAATCAGCTCAAATGGACTTCAGATGCGAGAGTTATAACTCGAATGGTAAACTGTGCCAGAATAGGCGAGAATCTCGGATGCATGGAATTCGACTTGTCCAACGAGTTCTTCTCTTTCTTTTCTTCCAATTCCAAACCATCAACTCTTCAATGGTTTTATTCAACCCTTTACTCTCCAAGGAGAGCTCGAATAATGTCTTTAAACTCGTACGTTTTCGCGTCTTCCAATTCTTCATCTTTGAGCTTGCTAGGATCGTATCAGCAGTATACACCTCTTTAAATGCTAACATTTCAGGTTCATGGTACTTTGATAGTGGATGCTCTAGGCACATGACTGGAACAAAGGAATTTCTATCAAACTATCACACACTTAATGGAGGACGTGTAACCTATGGAGGAGGAGCTAAAGGCAAAGTGGTTGGACGAGGAACACTCAGTATTGAGGGACTTCCAAAACTTTCAAATGTCTTACATGTTGAAGGATTGGGGTCAAATCTCATCAGTATTAGTCAATTGTGTGATGATGATCTACGTGTAGAATTTGATAAATACTGTTGTTTTGTGTTTCATAATCAAAATCATTGTGTACTGACAGGTTCCAGATAAATGGATAATTGCTATCAAACAGGTGACACCATCTCTTGCAAGAGCTCAAGAGTAAGTGAAGTAGAGCTGTGGCGCCAGAAACTAGGACACACAAACTTCAAAAATCTGAAACTGCTCAACAAGTACAATGCCATAAGAGGAGTACCAGATCTCAAGATCAAACATATTCCTATATGTGGAATGTGTGAGAAGAGAAAGCAAACCAGAGTACCACACAAAGTGTTGCAACACGTTGGTACCACTATTTGTTTTGAACTTGTACATATGGATCTTATGGGTCCTATAGAGGTAGAAAGTCTAAGTGGTAAAAAATATGTCTTTGCATGTGTTCATGATTTTTCAAGATATACTTGGGTGTATTTTTTAAGAGAAAAATCAGACACTTTTGAAGTTTTCAAAAATTTGTACAGGTTTGTTAGAACTCAATTTCAAGTTTCTGTTCGTAGAATAAGATCTGATCATGGAAAGGAATTTGAGAATGCTCTATTTCTTGCTTTTTGTAATAAAAAGGGTATAAAGCATGAATTTTCTGCTCCAAAAACTCCTCAGCAAAATGGCATTGCTGAAAGAAAAAACATAACCATCTAGGAAATGGCTAGGGTGATGATGAGTGCAAAAAATCTGTCTAAAAGGTTTTGGGCTGAGGCTGTCAACACAGCCTGTCACATCTCAAATCGTGTGTATCTAAGATTAGGATCTATGATGACTTCATATGAAATTCTTTATGGTAAGAAACCTAATCTAGAATACATGCATGTGTTTGGATGTGTCTGCTATGTTCTAAACGATAGAGATCATCTAGCTAAATTTGATTCAAAAAGTGATCTGAGTTTGTTCATGGGATACTCTAATAACAGTCATGCTTATAGAGTATATAATCTCAGAACTCGAACCATTATTGAATCTGTAAATGTGGTATTTGATGACTTTGCTGATCTCCGCAGTAAAACAGCTGAAGATGAAGTTGATGACTTAATTGCTGAAGGAGAAACAACCGAAGAAGACACTGCTACCACAGATGATCCAGATACAAACAGTCATGTTTCAAGAGAATAAGGTGTTGAGCCAAGTGTTACCACATCTGACTCAATACATCCTACAGAGGACACAGAAGCTGAATTGCAGCCAACCTATGATGTCTGCAGAAAGGAACCATCAAGTAGAATCCAGAAAAATCACCCATCTACTCAAGTAGTGGGAGATATCTTTGATGGAATAAGAACTAGAAGAAAAGAGAGAGTGAATTACAGAGATATGGTAAAATTTGCAAATTTATCTTCTGAATGTGCACTAACTGGAACCACTTGTTTTGTGTCTTCAGTGGAACCAAGGAATATTGCAGAAGCTCTGAAGGATGAATTCTGGGTCAATGCAATGCATGAAGAGTTGAATCAGTTCATCAGAAATGATGTTTGGTACTCAGTTCCCAGACCAAGCCATATAAATGTGATAGGAACTAAGTGGATCTTCAAAAACAAAACTGATGAAAAAAGGTACAGTGGTTAGAAATAAGGCTAGGTTAGTAGCACAAGGTTATACTCAAATTGAGGGTATAGACTTTGATGAGACTTTTGCTCCAGTAGCTAGAATTGAATCTATTAGGTTACTTCTTGCTATAGCCTGCTTTCTTAAAATCAAACTGTATCAGATGGATATCAAAAGTGCATTTCTGAATGGGGTTTTAAATGATGAAGCATATGTAGAACAACCCAAGGGTTTTGAAGATTCTGCCGAGCCTAATCATGTTTTCAAGCTTAAGAAGGCACTGTATGGTCTTAAACAAGCCCCTAGAGCTTGGTATCAAAGACTCACTGACTTCTTACTTGAAATACAGTTCAACAAAGGAGAGGCAGACAGAACCTTATTTGTTAGAAGAACTAATAATCATATCATTATTGTTCAGATATATGTTGATGATATTGTTTTTGGCTCTACTTGTGCTAACCTGTTACAGTCTTTTGTAGATTCTATGTCTCACACTTTTGAAATGAGCATGGTAGGGGAGTTGAATTACTTCTTAGGACTTCAAATCAAACAGACAGGTGAAGGAATCTTTGTAAATCAAAAGAAGTATGCTCTCAATCTGGTCAAAAGGTTTGAGTTGGAGTCAGCCAAGCACATGAAAACTCCAATGGGTTCAAGTCAAAAACTGTCCAAGGATGATGTTGCAGAAGATGTTGACAGCACTCTTTACAGAAGCATGATTGGAAGCCTTCTGTATCTAACAGCAAGCAGGCCTGACATTATGTTTAGTGTTTGTGTGTGTGTCAGGTATCAAGCTAATCCCAAAGTCACTCATCTTAAAGTTGTGAAGAGGATTATTAGGTATGTTGCAGGTACAGTAGATTTAGGGATTCAATTTTTCAAAGACACAAATACAAACTTGATAGGTTTTAGTGATTCTGATTGGGCTGGGGATATTAGTGACAGAAAAAACACCTCAGGTGCATGTTTCTTTTTGGGGAATAATCTTGTTTCTTGGTTTAGTAGAAAGCAAAATTGTGTATCTCTCTCAACAGCTGAATCAGAATATGTAGCTGCTGGAGGATGTTGTGGTCAACTAATTTGGATGAAACAAATGTTGGGAGATTATGGGTTGACCAGTGATACCCTGACCATATATTGTGATAATTCAAGTGCTATTGACATTTCCAAAAATCCTGTTCAACACTCACGAACTAAACACATAGATTCGTGATATAGTTGAGAAAAATATAGTGTGCTTAAAGTACATTCCAACAGAAGATCAGCTGGCTGACATCTTTACATAGGCATTAGATTATGAGAGGATTTCTAAACTCAGAAAATCTCTCGGGATGTGTACTCAATAAACATGTCCTGAATTATGTTGCAGCACCTCATCAAATATCTTAAGCTGCAACATAATTTACTGAAGCTTAGCTTCTTTAAATAATGCTTCACTGTGATGAATTATTTTTTCTAAATAAGTAACTGGAAGTCTTTCACCTTGAAACGTGATCATGCTTCATGTAAACATTTGGGGAATAATAACACTCACATAAGTCAAACTCCTCTATTTTGATAGTCATATCTTAGTAACTGAGGAACCTTCAAACTGAACACTTGATCATGTTCCATGTGAATTGTTTGACTTGAAAATAAGAGTTTAAAAAATATATATATATATATATATATATATATATATATATATATATATACATATATATATATATATATATAATAAAATCAATGCGTGTCAGCCAACTTTTTTCTCACTATTAATCATTAATAAATATGTTTTTTTATTTTTGTGAATATTTCATGAGTATTACGGTTTTATTTTTAATTTTTTGTTTTGAATTATCCCTATTTATATGGGTCATGGGTACATGGGTTAGTCTTTTATTTTCCACTAAGTCCACTCCTTATTATGCCATGTGTCACGATTTGCTTTAAACTGCCAAAGAAATTTTTATTCTCCTTAATCACACTTTCTCCAAGAAAAACGCACACCACTTCTTCATCTTCTCCACTTCAATTTTTCTCAGCAAAAATTAGGGCTTATAAATTTCGTGCTCAATCCTTCAAAAAATTCACACTCTCAAATCAAAAGCACAAGAAGAAATTTTTATCTACTGTATCATGGCATCTCCACCTAGAAATCCCCTTCCAGCCGAAGATGATGTCCACAACGATGCTGCAGCACCTGAACCAGCAGACCCGAATCTGGCCATCATCATTCATCCTGTCAATCTTGAAGCAATGTCGATCAGTTACATTGAGCCCGGAGACGAGCTGAATCCGATTGACCCAGACAACTTCGAGTTCGTGGGTCCCTCTTCCACTGCCGGAAGATTTCCAACTCGCCGATCCAAGCGCATGAACCCCTTCCCAGATCTGAATACTGCTGGGCCTCAACGCCGGAGGGGAGAAAACTCTCCCAGAAGAGGAGGCAGAGGTGGAAGAAGAGGAGGCAGAGGTGGCCGTACTCCAGTTAGGCCAAATCCACCAAGAGGCCTTCATTTGGTGGATGAAGAAACTGATGATGAAGAAGGAGATCCTACCTTTGCAGCACCAGAGGCTCAAGCTCCATCCTCTAGCTCATCTGAGTCATCATCCAAGGACTCACTTCCCCCAGCATCAACTCAGGGGGAGACATCTCAGCCTAGCATGGCAGCAGCAGCCTCTCAACATCCTGTTTCTGAGGGTGTTGCTGCACATGCTCCAGAAGATGCTGCTGCACCCACTGTCTCAGCAAATGTTCCTCAGAATGCTGCTGAGGATGCTGCTCCTTATCAGGATGAAGAAATGCCTGATTTTTCTGGGATGTCATCTGCAGAGCATGTTGACATTCCCACTGTTGATGCTCAGGATTTCACCACTACGGAAGAAACACCATCAGCACCTCATGCAGACCCAAACTCTGGCTGAAGCAGCAGTTCAAGCAGATGCATCTCCTCCTCAGGCTGAAGAACCAGAGAAAAGTGATGACAGCTGGGAGGTTCCTCTAGCTGCTTTTCGCAAAAATTTGCCCTCATCAGATTCAGACAGTGAATCTTCTGAAGACTCTTCTCAGCAGGAAGAAGATGTTGCCCCACCTGTTGCATCACCTGAACCAGCATACATTCCTGATGAGCTTGAAGATTCAGAAGATGAGGACTCCTCAGAAGAAGAAGAACCAGACTTGGATGGGAAGAATTTGTCAACCCTTTTTGAGGTAAACAATGCCTTCAGTCCTCATTTTTATTTTGAATCTGATTCAATTTTGAGTCCTCAGGTCATGAATTGTCAATTCATTGAGGAAAAGAAAATTTCTAATGAAGAGTTTGATAGGCATAGGATCACTGCTTTTCTTCATCAAAGAAAAATTCTTAACCTAGTTGAGATTGCCTGCTCCTATGATCCCACTGTTGTGAAGGAATTTTATGCCAATTTGCAAACCTCATTTTTAAAGAAAAACTCTCCAAACTTTGGCAAAGTTTTTGTGCGAAATTCCATCTTCTCTTTTTCTCCCAAAATTATCAACTCTCATTTACAAACTCCTACTGTGATTGATGAGGATAATTATGGTGATTTTACTGAGGTTTGTAAAGTTATTTCTGGAAACCGTTTAAGAAGTTGGCCTGCACACCCCAGAAAATTCAAGGTTTCTCAACTCACTGCCTTCTATTCTGTCTTGTTTAGACTCACAGTGATGAATTGGATTCCATCCAAAAATGTCTCTGTGGTAACTAAACCTCATGCAGTACTCATGTACAAATTGGGGATGGGATTGCCTGTTGATTTTGGCAAACTTTTCTTTAACACTATAGGTCATCTTGCCCAGAAAATTTCACCCTCTACTCATCTTCCTTATCCTTCTCTCATCTATTCCATTTTACTCTCTCAAAACTTGGGCCAAGATGACTCAGAATATCTTCACACTCCACAAGGCATGATCACTGTATCTCATAATTTTCTAAAAGCTCCTCATGTCCAAGATCTTCCCTGGAATGGAGATAATTTTCTCTCAACAGAATCAGGTCAAAATAATCTGGGTACTGAAGGTGTTGCTCCTAATGTTGACAACACTCCTAACATTCTTGTGTATGTTCCTAGAGATCTTCTGTTACAGCAGTTTACTCACTCTCTAGCTCAGATTACCTATCACCAGTCCATGGTGGACATGCTCCAAAAGGCTCTTTCTGATAAAAAAAAGGGGAGAAACAGATCATGAAGCTGAAGCAGGAACTTCTCACCCTTTGGATACCAGAGGCAGAGGGCAAGGAGCAAAGAATGAGGGTGAAGAGGAGAGCAGTGGATCCAGTGCTAGTGATGGAGGAGCAGCAGCTGACACTGAGGAGACTTTGGATATTCTACTTTAATTGTTTTCATGAACAATATTTTGATTTTGTTCTGTTTTTTAATTTCCCCTGAACTTTTGGTTAGGACTGCACTTTGGTTATTTCTTGTTTAAGTTTTGTTAGACTATCTTGCTGAATTTTGAATTGTCCTTTCTATATTATTTTTGGTATTATCAAATTCAGGGGGAGTTCAAGCAATATCTCAGGGGGAGTTTTAACTAAAATTTAGTTTTGATCAGAAAGTTAAAAAGGGGGGGTTTGAAACACGTTGTTATTTATACAAAAGTGTTTTTAACTCTCTTACTTTCAAACTAAATTTTAGTTATGACTTAGTGGGCTAATTGTTATGACTTAGTGGGTTTAATTGTGGATTTTATTCTAACTTCCTAACTAACCCACTAACCCATTTTCTTGAGTGCTCTTGTGGTTGGTTTTCTTGCAGATCATGGACTGAGGAGTGGAAGCTTGGCAAGTTTATAAATACCAAACTCAAGACTCAAGAATGGGACAGATTTCGAAGAAACAAAAAGAGGGCTGGAGTTTTAATCTCGAGTAATTTTAGAGTGTTTCTAGGATCTGTTGTACGTACTCCTTATGAGTACATTCTTTGAAATCTAGAATTTTTAATAATTTTCTTTTAGTATCTAGATTTGATTGTAAGAATGATCATGAGAATGATTCATTCATAAGGAAGAAGTTTTCGCACCTCTTCCGTTTGTATTCTTGGAATACTGATTTTAATATATTTTTCCGTCCTGTAAAGGGCAAGTTCACAAGTCTTTACTTGTGAACATATTTTATTCTGAGCATTGTCTTTTTATCTTTATATTTCCGCTGCATGTTTTCTCAAGTGTCATAACACTTCAGATAACATCTCTGTATTAAACGAATTCGGGACCATAAATTCTTTCAATTTTGATGGGAAAAAAACTCAAGAATTGACGAGTCGAGTTACATACTTAAATTAACGAGGTTTTATAGTGTATTTAACCAACTTGCCAATAGCCATTAGATCTCTAACTAAGCTACATATGAATCTTAGCAATCTTCAAACTTGTGATATTCAAATATCACAAGTTTCAAACTTGTTAAAGAATCCATTCACATATTAATTTTCAGTCGAATATGTATATTTCTGACCTTTTTTATGTCAATCCATTCACATATAAATACATACTTTTGCATACACACAACATATATAAACATACGTATAAATAATTACTTCCTCCATTATAAATTAATTGTCACTTTAGAAAGTTTTTCTTGCTGCATATTCTCTGTCATTTTACAATTTCGATGACACATTAAATATTATTTTATCAATTTTGCTCTTATCACTTTTAATTATTAGGTACAAAAGTAATAAAAATAGAATTCATGACATGGGTATTTTAGTCCCGATGACACATTAAATACTATTTTATCAATTTTGCTCTTATCACTTTTAATTATTAGATACAAAAGTAATAAAAATAGAATTCATAACATGGGTATTTTAGTCACATTATATATTTTTTTCTAAAATCCATACATATTTATTAGTTTTTCTAATATGTGTGCAACAACCTAAAACGTCAATTATTTTGGAACGGAGGGAGTATTAAAATGTCTTTATTTTTGTTTTTTTAATAACCATCACTTTAGATTTTCAATAATGTATTAAATGCATTTTTTCATGTTTTAACCTTATTAATTCAACTATAAGAGCATCTCCAACCTTGTAGGTTTTGGAGAGGCAAAAGCTAAATTATAAATATTTTACCATCTCAAACCTACAAAACTTGCTCCAAAGGAAAGAGCTATAATTTAGCCAGCTGCTAAATTCAATGACCCAACAAGTATATATACCAGTTAACTATTCACACATGGTATCCAATATAATATTAAAATAATGCAGCCCCATCCCCACATTTTCACTATTCACCTGTAGTC